GGTTCCCAGAAAACTATTAGACAAGTTCATGGTCTATCAGAAGCTATGAAGTAAAGTGGTCTATGTCCAGCTTCTGACTGAGAACATCCTTAAACTGCACATTGCTAGAAGCTGGGAGAATGTAACCAGAAGTACCATGCTGTTTTAAGCTCCTGTTCTTTGCCAAGAAGAAGGGTTACTGGACTAAATGGACCTTCAATGTGACCCAGATCAGTCTCATTAGGCTAAAGGTTCCCTAATAAATCTGAACTTTACAGATTTTTACTGTTCCTGTGCCCCTCAGTATGCTTATGAAGACAGTTATTCCAAGTCCAATGTGAGCATAACTTGGTGATTATTGACCAAGATGTGCCTTTATCAGACTACTTGGTAACTGCTTGCTTTTTAAAGTTGTAAAAGTCTCTTCTTCAGGATGGCTATTGACTGACTGTCATTTCATTACTATAGGTTTGGCAGGAGTAGAAATTTAATGGTCTGGCTGATCTTAGAAAAGGAGGGAACTGAACTCAGAAGATCCTCTGTTTCATCTCTCTGCATGCAGGCAGAACTGTGTAAATACTAACCTGCTTTGCTCTTTCCTGTAGCCCAAGAAGTTTCTATAGTTTGTTCTTAAATTCCAGTGACCTCTCTTTAGAGTGTATTCCACTGTGTTAAAATAGCAAAGCTTTTTGTGAAATTCAGTCTAAACAATTAAAATTAAGACTGTTTTTTTTTCTTGTCATTAGCCATGGGGAATGGTTGATCACAGTTTCTGTGATCTTGAGTGAACCAGACACATACAACTCTTCCTCATAGCCCTTATTGTGTTTTTAAAAATTTTTTTAAACTTCTTAGGATTTTGTAAATGTTACAATGAGTTTTGCAGTGACATCCTGATTCTTCCAGTAGTGAACTGAAGTGCTCTAATGAGTTTGTTTTGATCATCTAAGGGGTTAAATTTGATTTCATTCTTCTGTTGTTTTGGACATTTGACCAGTGGTAATGTTTTATTCTACTTACATTGTTCTGGGTGTTTTTATTATATCCATTTGAAGAACTGAAGTGTACTAGGATAATTAAGATAGTGGTAGATTTAATAAAGCCAGTGTTAAAAGAAGCTACTTAAAAATGCATAGGTTTTGTTAAACTCTCTCTCTCTCCCCAGTCTCTTTTTCTCTCACCCACCCACACCCGCACATTTTTTGATTTTTCCCCCCCTAATAAGGAATTATATTGTCATTTCTGGTTACGGCTTAGTTTTATGAAAACTGATATTTAAAACTAAAACAGCTGAAAACATTTCATGTATCATAAAGGACCTAATTAGGCTGCAGACACAGGTTAAAAGGTACATAAAAGGAAAGGCCTTTTTATTTTCAAGTGTTTTGGCATGAATAGTTGTGTCACTGTAATTTCCTTGCCAATTTTTGATCAAGAACCAGAGTTCTTTATCTTGGAAGTCCAGAACCTTCAAGGTGCCCTTTCTCTCTCTGGAAGCCTTCAGAAATTCTGAGATAAAACTGTAGAAGAGTAGCTGAATTTCTGTAAGCAAAAATAAATCAATCTACTTTAAAACGGGAAAGTAGATGTAAATTACAGAAGGAAGTGATATTGTGAAACAAATGACCATTGATTCTATGAGTGCTGATACCAAAAGGAATGGCAGAAGGCTCTTGTGAATCATAGTGAAGAACAGCTTTTATTTTCTGGGTGTACTTGCAGATAAACCAGTATTCAGAAATGAATTTATTCATTCTGCTCCCATTGTCAGCAATTAGACAAGATTTGCAAGAACATTTATACCCAGGAAGAAAACCAATCCTGTGAAACTCTTGAAACAATGAAAGGATTTTTGAATCATGCATCAGAGCCTTTCCAGAAGGGAGAACCCAGCCCATACAGTCTCTTGAAGTTACTCTTTAGCTTTACCTGTGTAGCAAAGATGTAAACATTTGCTATCTTCTAGCACATTGATGAAGTTAAGATTTAAAATGAACACATGTGATCAAGGCAATCTAAATGGTACCAGAGTATTTTGATTTGCTAATTGAAGAAGGTGCAGGAAGTGGTCTGTCCTGATTAGTTCCCTCTTTATGCTTTGCTTTGTGTCTCTTGGCTGGATGCCATGTAATGATTTTTGATATTTACAGGGATTCTTCTCTACAGGACAAAATAAAGCCTGAGGCAAGGTAAGTAGAGAGAAGAAAGAACAGAAGGATAGATAAGATGGAGAGCAGAACAGGAACAAAATTCACACACATCCTTTTAATTATTAGTATGAATGCTTTCCTGCATGCCTCATTGAGACTTAGGCTGTGGATGTGTTACAGAAAAGACTCATAAAGGAATATGAAACCTGAAAGGGAAGTGAATATGCCCAGCTATGGACCTACTTATTTTTGCATTATCATTCTTATGTAGAAAGATGCTTGGGTTATGTCTTGCAGTGGTCACAGAAAGTTAAATTGCCAATTCCCATAGCCATCAGATTTCCCAGTTTCGCTTTTGTTGGCAGAGCTTCATCTGTGGTAGCAGTGCTGGCAGTACTGATGGAGGCTGCTGGCAGCCCATCTACAGTGTCTCAGCTGGGTATCATCTAGTTCCCTGTGAGCAGAGTTGGGAGAGAGAGTTAGAGCAATCAGATTACATTTGTGCTTCCCCTGCACAAATTTTTTCTTCATACAAACATGATGTTTAATTTCACTTGCAGAACTGGATGATACGTATTCTTGCAGACATTACATGCAAATTTTTAATCCCTTTTCAAAATTCCATTTTATTGCTATATGGATATTTTAACATACTTAATTTTAATTACATTTGATGCTTATTTCATGTAATGGTAGAACGTGGAAATTGTGAAACACCAGTAAGAATAATGGGGGGCTGCCTGTGAAAACAAAGGTGTTCCAGTCTGCAGGGATCCTTAGGCTCATTTGAAATCCCTAGGATAAAAGACAGTTTGTCTGTGTTACGTTGATTTAGGATAATATACAGAAATAATAAATTACATTGATGGTTCTTGTGAGGAAAAGCTATCATGTTGACTGCTGTTTCCAAAGAGGCCAGGTACTAACCAGTTAAGGGAATAGGGTGACTAATAACAAACATTCAACAATTTAGTGTTGGATAAATTATTTATTCTGTGTATTCTGTGGCGGGAGAGATACGGTCTGTCAAGTTTTCTGGCAGCATAATTCTGTTGATGTTGGTTGAATTGTGCCAGCAAAGATTTTGCTTTTATAATCTCAGCTACTGCAGCAAATAAATGTAGTTCTTTTATGAGAAAGTTCAAATCAGTAGCTATTAGTAGTCCCCAGGCCTTATTTTCCACCTGATAAGTGAAGACAAATTTAATTAGAAAAGGTGAATTTGGGAATTCTGCTGGTAGCAGATCATCTGCTTGTATATGGCTTCATTGAAAGGTCTTGTCTCCTGCTTCTCCTCCCTTTTGAGCGTGTTCTGATAGTAGCCAGCACACTGAAAGTGCAGTGTGCTTCAGCTGTGTGCTTCAGGATTTTTTCATTTTACCCTGTGTTTGACTTGTTCTCCATATTAATTTTAAAATTCATGTATAGGATAATAAACTTCAAGTGAGATGGGGCATGGATGCAACTGCACCGTTTTTTCATGAATACAGTAGTCTGAATTTTTAAAATAGTGATTTGATTGTCTCTCTATCTTGTGGATAAGGACTTTCTGGATGTGTGATTCTGCCTTCCATGAACACTGAGGCTGGTGTCACTGTGGTTGTTACAGCCTCTTCCTTACCACCTTTGCCCTACAGATTTCACAATTTGTCTCTTCCTGTCTGTTTACCCTAGGGCTTTTTTTAGGGATCATCTGAAATTGATCCTGTGGTCTTTAGTTTGTTAATTTTTCCTCTCCCCCTGCTGCTTTTAGGGTGGATTTGTTTATTGTCACACTGTAAGGCACAGTAGGAAGGTAATTGTCTATCAGATGTACTATAGATTTTACTATTGATCACATTGTGCAGTAACAGCAGGATGTCAAACTGAATTTTAAGCTCTTTAATGTGGCTTCACTGGTGATGACTGCTAAGTGATGTACCCCTACTGATAGGTCAACACCCTGGGTCTTGTTTTGGGGTTCTTAGACTTTGGACATTCCTGAAAGTTTAACTAGTTGCTGGTAATAAAGCAGTTTGGAAACTAACTTAATTTCTTTTTGAGTAGCTTGGTTCGGTGTTATCTTTGACCTGTTGCTTTAACAGTATGCATTTTGTCTGTGGTCAGAATGCAGTACAGCCCTAGCAGTAGTGTCTGTTTCGTGGCAGAGTGAAAAGTGCTCTCTGCACCTGAGACTTGTCAGGGAAAGCACCAGACATTGCTGAGGGTCTGTGCTGCAGGCATCTGGCCATGGCATGGTCTCTAGGTAGGCCACCCTGAACTCAGATGTAGAAGGAAAAAAAACCCTGTTGTCTGTGGTGCTCCAGATAGGTGACATTTCAAACATACTACATGTGCATCAGTGCCATTTTGTGCTGAATGTCTGTTTCGCTAACTGTAGAGACTTCTAGATCTTCACATCTTTCTTGCAGTCAATTACTACAGTTCAAATGTGTTCAGTTTTATTTTTGAGTACACTATGGAGAAACTTCAAGCCAGCTTCTGTGTTTGTATCCTTAAAATTCATACTTCTGCTTTGTACTCTGATATTTTGTCGCCAGTATATTGTTTCCTTCTGTTTAGATGGAAAATACTTGTAGGTACAAGCAATTCTGATGTAACTCTACATGGTATATTTCTTCAAGGTGGTCATACAAATTGGTCTGTTCAAACATAAGCTACTTTCAATTTGTCTGTAGAAATATCGTTTGAAAGAAGAAGAAAGATGAGCATCTAAAATAACCTCTTTTAAAGGGTATTTCTGTTTGTCCCATTCCTTAGTTTTCTTGATTTGATCCACTGTGTATTTAATATTTGAAACTTCATTGCTAATAAAATCTCTCACTAAATACTTTTTTCTAAATTTTTTTGCTTTCCCTTTTCTCTCTGTAGGTAGAAGAAATTGTTGATATAGGAGCATTTGCCCCAGAAGACATTCATGTTCCCAAAATCTATGTTGATCGCCTGATAAAAGGAGAGAAGTTTGAGAAGAGAATTGAAGTAAGTTGCTGAACTTCTTGGTCACAACATATTTCAGTTTGTGGTATATTTCAGAATTTGCAGGGTTTTTAAGTCTTAGCACTGAGAAGATAGTGTGAGAAAGACCTGTCAAGTTTTGCTAAGTACTGGAGCTTAAGTGTGTACTTAGGTAGTCGGTGCTTAGGTGGGGCCCTGAGAATTGAGCCTTGTTTCTTACACTTCAGCCTCTCTGGTTCAGTCCCTGAATAATTTAGAGCAACTGCCTGTCGTCCTGGGTGGCTTTAATGCAGTTGAAAATTTGATGGAAAATGCTACTTTATTCTCCTTCCTTCTCTCAGTTCACTTTCTGTAGACACCACAAGGGGAACACCTAGATTAAGAGCTGACTTTGACAATTAGATGCTTTCTTTTCTATTAGAGAGCTTTTGACATGGGCATCTAGGGCCAGTCTCAGCCCCTTTTGTGCCATGTATTGAATTACGTTACATTGCAAAGGTCCTGGAACCTTTCTTCCCTCTTCTTTAATCAGGAACTTTTTTAGCCAGTGGCAATCTGAATAAAAGATGTCAGTAGCTATTAAAAATTGCAGCAATAATATTCCGTTGCTGAAAACATCCAAGAAAATTATGATTATGTAATTGTTCTTCTTTGTTTCTGTGGCTTTGCCTCACTCAAGCTATGTCCCTGTATTCATTTTGGTGATGTGACAATGCTTTTAAAGTGCAATTGAAAATTCTGTGTTTCTCCTGTGTCTCCATAGTCCGGAGGTGGAAATTATTCAAAATGTCATCAGAAGAGCTGGTGGAGGGGGAGATACATGACACAAGGGAAAAAAAATCTTTGGGGGAAAAAAAGTGCAGAAAGAAATCATAATAATTAAACTTTTATTATTAAAATCAAGTCACAAAGTCCTAGAAAGTCATACAAGGCCTTTTCTCTGAATAAACTCTTTTATGAATGTTAAGGTTAAAAAGCTTTTTTTTTCCTCCTTCCATCTGTTCATTCTGCAAAAGCATATTGCATGTTGTTGAGTATTTGAGTGGAAACAGATGTGTCAAAGCTTTCCCCCCTCCTCCCCCCTTCTTTTTCCTTTCTCTGGGCATGTTGTGTTAGACTGCAAATAATGGTCTGTTTCCTTCTTGTGAATGGATGCAATATCTCACACAAAAGCTTTTACCGTTCATGAGAGAAATCCATTTGCATCTACTAAACTGCTGTTCTTATTGCAGTTTGGCAGTGGATGAAGAGGTGACTGTCCAGGGAAGACCTTTATACAAACACCTGATTTTCTTTGGCTTGGCTGCATAAATGAATACACCTACCTAGTCAACTGCCCCCTTCCCTATATGCTTAAGAAAGAAAGGAAGTGAGAGAGGGAGGAAAAAAGCTACTATAAACTGCACAGCAAAGTTGTAACAGATTAATTTTGGTTGTGTAATTTTGTAATTCTGGCAGTGGCGCCCCTCATTAATAGAAGTATAGGAAGGAAATGGCAGATTTATTTACTCTTCCATAAAAGATTATATATGAAGGAAGTGGCTGTACATACGAAAGCATTGAGTATGGTGAGTGGTAAGAGGAGAGATGAGGAATAAAGACAACAGACACTAGTCTGTCATAATTCTTACTGGCTTTAAATAGCTGTTCCTGCCTAATTTGGCTTAGATGTGGTCCCTCTAATCCAAGTCATGCTTTCTATCCAACCTTCCCTTTGCTGCAGAGAAACCCTAAGTGATTGTTCTTACTTTTTCTACGACTCGCAAGTGAAGCAGTTCTAGGGAAGACAGCCAAGGCATAAAACGAAAGTTGCTGGGAAATTCAAGAGGATTGATATCGACTGTTTTTGACTGCCTAAGAGGAAAGTGACTCCCAACGCGGGGGAAAAAAGACACTGCAAAAAATCTTTTGTGGTGATGAAAAGGAACAGAGGATGATTTTGCCTGATCTGTTCATTATGGCCTAAAGCAGGAGAGGATGTGAAGAGATATGGGGGTGCAGGACATGATGTTGCCCAGAGCAGTTTTATATGCATGGGAGAGATGTGCAAAGATCATAATCTATGTAAACAATAGTTTATAAAAAAGGTGTTACAAATTTCTTGAATGTCATGGTATTTTCATCTACATGTGATTTAGAAAGTGTCAATTTAAGGTCAGGAAATCTCAGGAAACAACTTCAGGCAGATTTATGCAAGATTATACAGATTTATGTTTGAAAACAGTTGCTTAGCTCCTAGTATCTTTAGATGACTGGCATTTGTCTGTCTCATGTATATAAATCTAGACTAGGACCACTGAATTGAATGAATGCAGAAAGAGAGCAGTATTTGTATTGTAGGCTGACATCTGACAAATCTATTTAGGTATCTCTGGGGTAATGAATCTCAGACTTGCTTGTATTTGCACTAATGCTTGGTGCGTTCTTAACCAGTTGTGTATGTATGACATACTCTCTCAGCCTTGGCGATACAAAGAAGTAGTAACGTTTTGCTCTGAGGCTGTCATTGGGGATGTTTGATGACTCCATTGACTTAGATAAGCTTGCACTGATAGAATAAAAGGTTGGGTTTTTTTGTAGAAGATGGATAAATAACATTCTTAGACCAAGTATCTCAATGCAATCACAAATCAGGCTTTTGTGTCTTGAGAAGCAAGAATCTGGATTCTAATCTATACTTATGATTACTTCTTCTTTTGCAGCGCTTATCAATCCGAAAGCCTGAAGACTCAAAAGCCAAAGAAAAACCAGGAGACAATGTGAGGGAGAGGATCATTAGACGGGCTGCTTTAGAGTTTGAGGATGGCATGTATGGTATCCTTGAGCTGTGCTATAGGTTAAAGGGATGACTCGCTAGAATAACAACCGCAGCTGGTTTGTTTAAGACAGGTTAATTACCATGCTTGTTGTCTTTCCAAGAGCCTGAGGTTCTCTCATTTTATTAACACTCTATTGAAATAGATGGGATGTTAAGACATAGGATACCTGGAGTTTTTATCTAGGCATATCTGGAGAGTTTGTTAACAGTTGAATGTTTTGCAAGAATTTCTTGAAAAACTTATCTATGTTGGAAATGAAGCTTACTTGCACTGTGGGCTTTTTATCATGTAAAGCATTTGACAGAATGCAATTAGACAGTCCAAATGGCAAAATAATTCATCACAAATATGAGGCGTTTAAGTAAAAATGAAAGTGTTTGTGTGAAAACAACAGTTCTAATCTAATCGTAGTACAATGATAACTTGTTTTAATTTATTAGTTTGCAGTAAGTGTGTCCCTGTTTGTGCCTTAACCAATTCTCTTCAGCTAATCTGGGTATTGGAATCCCGCTGTTGGCCAGTAACTTCATCAGTCCAGATATAACTGTTCACTTACAGAGTGAAAATGGAGTCCTGGGTTTGGTAAGAATATATCTTGGGCACTTATTGTAGTGTACTTACCTTGAAGTGGCTGGGTTTTATTCCCCACCCGCCCCCAACTTGATTATAATTTTACTAAAAATCATATTCAAATATATGTCATATTGCATGATCATAAAATTCTTACTGTTGTGCATGGGAGTTTTTAAGGAAATGCTCATTTCAGGATTATAGTGCTACTTTGCTAAGTATGTTCTTAAGTCCATGTTTAGCTGGAAGGAGTCAGAACCTTCAGTAGTTTGCAAGACCAAGCCTTGCAAGCCTTATCAAACATAATTTTAAATAAAGCTTAAAATAAATACTATTTTCACTTTTGTATGGCTTTATGAAGTTGCACCTATATACCTTTTTCTAAAAAAATGTGACTTTGGTTAAAAACAAAAAAAAAATCAAAAAACCAAACGAAACCAAACCCCCACTTCGTGGTTATTTAGTAATTCTAACAGCCACTAACAATATGTCCATCAGTCCTGATATGTTAGTTGATGTAAATGGTGGCTTGTATCATCAGGGATGTTGTTCTGCTAAAGATAAAAAATATTCATGTATGTGATGATCTGTTTTCAGTAATAAGCATTAGAAATAATAAAGCAGTTATGAATTGTATCTCAAAGGTATTTTGATATTAAGCTGACATATGTCTGTGTCATTGTCATCAGGGTCCTTATCCACTTGAAAATGAAGTAGATCCAGACCTGATTAATGCAGGTAAAAATCTTTTAAATAAATCTAATTTATGGAAAATGATTATTCATTGTTAATCTAAAAATTTTCTTTCGATTCAGTATTTGAACTCCTGTTTTATTTACCTATAAATATTAATGTATTTGTCTTTTAAGTAAAGGTTGGTTTTGATCAATGGAGGTGTTTAATATTCTAGTTAGAGAGCTTATGCTTTGATGCAATTTAGTAGCTACTGAAGGAAACTCTCTTCCAGGCCAGGCAGTAAAGGGTCAAACCTTCCTTTTCAGAAGTGAGATTGTTTTGTGAAGCCTACATGCAAATTTGGATTTGTTTTCCTGCTACTTTTCACCTTGTGTCTTCTAGAAAATGGTTTTCAATGATTTATGCTTGGGACATGTTTTAAAACATCCTGTGTCTAATGGCCTGGTTTGTTCTTGGCTAGTGAGTTGCCAGGAATGCAACTCATCTGCATTTGGAGAGAGAGCAGTAGCCAGGGCAGGGGGAAAGAGCTCCCTAAATGGGACCTGGCACACTGGAGGGCTCTGCTGCAGGCGGCTGCTTTTGCTACTTCAGGAGAGGAATGCCAGTCCTCACGTACTGTTTTTGCCCAGCTGTTTTGGGGCATTTCACCTCAGAAACAGCCATGCAATGTAAAAACTTAAGCTTTTTATGGTTTAGTGCATTGGTCTTATTTGTGTTTTCTTCATGGAAAGTTGTGCCTGTGTCCATTCTCTGTTTCCACGTAAAATTAATTACACCTGTATGTTGCATTGTGACAAACAGAAGTAGGCCTTGGCACCTTATAAATTGTCATTGGCGTTAATGGTAGGTTATAGACCCATAGTTTAGAATTGTTTTTTCATATGGAAAACGATTTTATGTTTTTTATTTATGCATACATACACACATGTGTATGGATGTGTACATATGTATCTATATAGACAGTACCTTTCTCAGCAGCTGTTAGCAAGTACAGTTAAACTCTGAAAGTCAAAGGAGATAAAGCACTGACATCAAACAAGCTTTTAGTTCATATCAGGGTGCAGTCCAGCAATTATGCACTGACATGAAACATTTGCTGCCTGGTTTAACTAATTGATACCATTATCATACTGCTGTGTTATTGCCCCTGTTTCAGTATTATGTTTTAAATAAGAAGTGATTTAAGGCCATCTTCTGATACGAAATTAGGAATTGAGTCCAACATTTCACCAGTAGCTAGGTAACTGTTGTGGTACACTGCATGAAGGAAAATGTCAGAGGCATATGAGAGCTGTGTCAATGCTTGAGCTGAAATTGAGTTTTTGGTTTGGTTTTTTTGTTTTGTTTTTTTTTTTTTAAAAAAAAAGCTGATGGTGTCACTGGAAGGAAAGAATTATTTAGAATAAAAAACATTTACTATAAAAGGTGAAATTATGCACGCACATTAGAACTTAAGTTCTAATATGGGTGTATTAGAAATGAACATGTTAACAGAGTGACAATGGAAAAAATATTCAAGAACTTGATAAATACTCTGAAAAATCATTGTGCTTTTATATGGATGTCAAGATGATCTTGAATTGTTATTTATGGTTGATAAATATTTTTGAAGAGATAATCTTGCAGGGATGAAGCTAGCGTAAGAGGTCAGAATGCAACATGGAGATCGGATTATTCTAGTATTGGTAATTCGGTGTTGAGCACCATCACATCTTCCTCTGAAGCTGCAGCAGATGGGACACAGGATAGGTGAACCTCAGCTCTACCACCAAAATTATTATTGTTATCGTTGCTGAAACATTCAGAAGCTGCTAAATCTCACTGACGCTTAGTTGGATTAAGACCATTCTAGGTGCTTTCCAGCCAAATTTATAAAACCATGTGAAGAAAACAGAAGCTAAATGACAACGGAACAGGATTTAATTCTGTTTGCATTTGTCGGCTGGAATGGTCCAGTATCAGCCCCCAAAGTCCACATTTTCAAAACGCACTCCTGATCTGAGCTTTTGCCAAATTTTTGTCTGCAAATGTAATTCTGTTTCCCTGGAATATGTATGGGTTTTTTGCTTGTCCCATTTTCTGAATGTCTCACACGAAGTTTATCTTCACTGTAATTGAAAGGTAGACTTCTGTCTTACAGCAGAAACATTTAGAAGTACTGACTTCCTGAGAGCATTTTCAAGAAGTGGGTGATACGGTGCTCTTACTACTTTACTCTGTGGTCCTCAGACTGTGTCTTTCTTCTCAACATTGCCTTAGCCTGTCACTTTATCCCAGGGTTCTCACTCCATGTTGCTGCTTGCAGGCTGTGTTGTCTCTCCCACTGCCTTGGGTGGGTGCCTGGT